TTTGATTTTTTTTTTTTGGTTTTTTTTTTTTTGGTTTTTTTTTTTTTTTGGTTTTTTTTGGTTTTTTTTTTTTTTTTTTTTTTTTTTAAGTATTTTTTGGAGTTTTTTTGGGGTTATTATATTGGCCGTTGGCTGTGAACTGTTGGCTGTGAACTGTTGGCTGTTGGCTGTTGGCTGTTGGCTGTTAGCTCTGAGTCTATCTCCTCAGACGCCCTACCTCGGTCTGATGCTCTTTCCCAGGCCTTCTGCTTTCCTCCATGGATCGTAGGCCTCGCTCCTCCAAGCAAAAGTCCCATTGCAGTGGTCTATCGAACAACTAATCAATGGAGCCTCACTTTGACCAGAGCACCTTTGGTTCAGACGGCAGGAAACAGGGGTCACACAACATGACGCCTCTACGCCATGCACCCACTACGACCAGGCGTCCCTGGCGCAGCATCGCTAATTGGATAGCCTAAGGATGATAAGTCAGTAACAATGAACTATTCACAAAGCCCTATAGAGCACCGAGTTGCCAAAGATTCCACCTAACCAGAGAGAACGAAAGCAAAGGTAAAACAGAATTAATATGCTCTTTGTGTCTTTCTTTTCACCTACCTTAGATGTTACCAGGCCTCGGTAACACCTGTTCCTGCTCCTGATCCTGATCCTGCTGGAGGGGGAATCTCCTTGACGGCCGAAGCTCGAGCTCTACAGGACCCAGTGAATAATTCATTGGTACTGACTTACCATTCTCAGGCTACCGCAACTGTGTGTCATCCTGTCCCTACGCGAAATCCCCAGAGGCACTCGGATCAAGTGAGGCCCAGAGACTAGAAGTTCTCTAGCGCCACCACAATGGTCCTTCCTCAAGGAGTCGTGAGGGTCCGACGGAGTGGAACCCCCCATCAGAGCAGATGAGGAGTTCGGAGGAGGCGGCAGAGAGGCCGGCGGAGGGGCCCCCGGGCTCCGATGGTAGGACGGAGTGGAGCCCTTATCGAATCGGATAGGCCTCTACGGAAAGAGCCGAAGAAATAAAGAAAAAGAAAAAAAAAAAAAAAAAGCGTGGTTAGAATACTATAAAGAATAGCATAACACAGCAACACCAAAAAAAAAAAGAAAAAAAAAGTGCAATATGTTTACTCAATAAGAGAGAGTACTTACAGATCCGCTTAGGGCCCCATTTCGATAAGCACTGCATGAGCTTATTGCAGTCTTTGGGATGGTCGCCGCTGAGCATCCATCGGTAGTGTTTCTTGTGATGACTAGAAGGACAAAGGCAAAAAAATAGGAGTAAGTTAATGGACCTGCTGGACTCATTTAGCAATAGCTAAACAGTGGGTGACGGTAGGCAAGACAAAACGAAGCCATACATATGCTAGATACTTACTTGATGACGGCTCTATAGTGGATTGTATTTCACGGCTGGAATAGAGCATTTTTTATGGTCTCTGTGTGGCCTTTATAAGGCATGTGAAGGGGAGGTGGAGAGGATGTGGGTGAAGAGAGGAGAAAAGAAAAGAAAAGCTGAGGGGGAGACGAAGGGTATTTATGAAAATTGTTTTTCTTTTTGTGTCGTCGATATGACGTTTTACAGCAACGCAAAGGAAACTTGGTATCCCACTGCCAAAGGTATTAAATAATAATACTAATAGCCATCATATGTCAGCAATAAAGAAAGCCATTGTGAAGTATAATAGTAAGCGAATGAGTGAGTAAAAAATAAATATTTGAAATGTAAAGAGATAACGCGTTCAGAGGGCAATGCCACAAAATTATTATTTTTCCGCCATGACGCCTTCGGTCAGATGTTCGCATGAAAACTCTGTTTTCTGGTTGGTCAAAACATTTACACGGCAGATAAGAGAAGCAGACATTGTCCATCTTCGGTAAAATTAACCTTTTTTATCTCCAAATGCTGTATGAATGAGTATGGAAAGAACCATTGAGTCAAATATAATGAATAATACAAAATAATGCATTATATAGACATATACTTTCTTGCTGTCGACGGCGAGGGCTCTTTGGCGGATTGTGCTTTGGAGAAAAGGAGAAAGGATGAATGCTGAGTGGTTTTTGTAATCGCTCAGGGAAAATAGTAAGTGAAACCAATTTGTGATCTCAAAGTATTGACTGAATAGCAATACAAATACGACATTTTGCTTTTATGCAAGAAAAAAAAGAAAAGAAAACGGCATAGCGGGAATTGAAATCAATAATCTGTGCACCTGTGATATCATTCGTCAATTTTCATATGCTTACAAGGTGGAGAAAGAGAACAACATTCCATCCTCAAAGATATGCAGGGTCATACATACAACAATCTGCCTGCCCACAACAAGAGCACGAGCCACATTGCCCTCTTTGTATGGTGTACAACAAAGAAAGAAAGAAAAAACAGTGAGCAATGTGCTGTAGCTGGAGTAAAAGGACGAGACCCAAAGTACAAGCATATTAAAACTCGCATACTCTGTTTCTCACTCGCATAATCAGCTACTATTCACTATTCTTTATTACACATTTTGCATTGTATTGTATGGAAATAAAAATAAAAATAAGAAATAAAATAAAATTAAAATAAAAGTAAAATTAAAATAAAAATAGAATTAAAAATAAAAATAAAAATAAAAATAAAAATAAAAATAAAAATAAAAATAAAAATAAAAATAAAAATAAAAATAAAAGTAAAATAAAAGTAAAAATAAAAGTAAAAAAAATAAAAAAAAGAAGTGGTATACTGAGGATTGTACCACACTCTCGAAAAACGGCAACCCGCCGGAGCATAGTCATCACAATAGTCTATCCTACTCTTGTTAGGATCCATCAAAGTACCCTTGTCGCCGGCACCAAGTTAGCATACAATATATGTGTAGCTTCATTTTGTTTCGCCTGTGATTATCCACTGTCTACCCTACCACTAAACAAACCCACCACCTCGCCCCCATCCTTTTTTATAATAATTTGTGTAAGCACGCAGCTGTAGAGGATGAGAGTGTGTGGGTTGCAATGGCGTCGGTGTTGCAGACACTAGCAGCAACCACTGCGTGAGAGGCTTTGATGCACTTGGCTGTGTTCTTGGTGCTTTATTGTTTAGTGCAAGATGTCAATAGGAGGAGCGATGGTGGATGCTGGACAAATCCAAGACTCCTCGTGCATTTTGGATGATTCACTGAGCTTCAAAGCCTGTTTTTATTTTATATATTTTTTTTTATTAAGTAAATGTTTGAAGCCAAGTGGTAAAAAGATCCGACTTCTCGATGGACTTGTAAAGCCATCGGTAACAAACTTGACAGAGTCGTTCCTGGCCGCAGCAGCATCTGATAATTCCCACAGCTTCCCAAATGTTGAGTTTAATGAAGATAAATGGGGCCGTGTTTATCATGACGGTTCATTCCGCTGGTTTAATATCCACTTGAATAAGTTTTCAAACACCTATGGTGGCAAACCACTCAGTCTTTAAACTAGTTTGTCCATTGTATATTGCTATAGAAAATAAAATACTTTTATGAGATATGCTTTTTGCACACAGTTGAACTGATGAGCTCAATATCGATTTATTTGATGGTTACAAGGAGGGCGATACATCTAAAGTGACAGCTCGAGAGTAATATAGTTCATGTGGTTGTTTATGGACAGATTTTCCTTACGAGTCTTGAAGACATCTGTTATAACTCATACGGTAATGAGGAGACTCTCACGATCGGAAGTGGAATAATGCTCTGACATCAAATACACGTATATTTATTTTACTTTTTTTTTTAACTTTTTGCTTTTTATTATATAATTTTTATTTTTATTTTCATTTTTACTTTTGTTTTTACTTTTGTTTTTACTTTACTTTTATTTTTACTCTTATTTTGAATTTTACTTTTATTTTTATTTTTATTTTATTTTTATTTTTACTTTATTTTAATTTTAATTTTACTTTTATTTTAATTTTATTTTATTTCTTATTTTTATTTTTATTTCCATACAATACAATGCAAAATGTGTAATAAAGAATAGTGAATAGTAGCTGATTATGCGAGTGAGAAACAGAGTATGTGAGTGAAAAACAGAGTATGCGAGTTTTAATATGCTTGTACTTTGGGTCTCGTCCTTTTACTCCAGCTACAGCACATTGCTCACTGTTTTTTCTTTCTTTCTTTGTTGTACACCATACAAAGAGGACAATGTGGCTCGTGCTCTTGTTGTGGGCAGGCAGATTGTTGTATGTATGACCCTGCATATCTTTGAGGAACATCAGTTTCAAGCAGGATTTATAGCCTGGTGAGATCGACTTAACCTGCGTGATCGACAATTTCTGCTATTGTAGTCTTACGTCCCACTAGTTCTCTCAAGTGTGGACAATTGAGTAGGATCGCTTCAACAATATTATCAGACTGTGCGCTTTGCTCGTTTATTCGCAGTCTCTCAATTGTATTGCGGAGCCTCCGAACCTTTCTTCCTCATGCTCTGTGTCCAGTGCTCCTATTCGAATAAGGTAAGTTCAGATTCGATTCATGTTCGAATGGATATTTAAATTCGATTGCTTTTCGAATGATTCGAACCATTCAAGCCATTCGATACTCGAATGACTCGAATTATCCAGAGCCATTCGAATCATTTGAACTTACCATGATTCATTTTCGATTCGAATGCATTCGAACCCATTCGAATTCGATATGTTCGAATCGAATAGGAGCACATAATGTGCCCATCTTCCAGAACCTTCTACTCGTTTGCTAACAATCCTTGGATAGAGAGTGCCCGAACTCACAATAGGGGACTTCTAGCCGCCTTAGTTCGATCATTTGCCTGAGCCACCATATCCTCGTCCTTTACCATCATGCATGGTAGGCATAGATCTAATTGATTTGTCGGCGTGTAAAGATGATCAAAGAACGTTGTCCTGTAGAATCCTGATACCTATCAAATCTTAGCGAGCATAGTTGCGGGCATCCCCAGGTCAACATGCCGAGACAATGTAACGATGTATGTGAATGTGAAGGAACGGATATATTTTTTTTATTTATTTAAATTTAGTCAAAAGTACGATACTCTACGAGAATATCGTGTGATAGGAGTATGTCAGTTACTAATGTACGTGCACCTGGCTCGCAGTTCACAATACCATACACGTCATTAAGACTTGGCCAATTGTTTATAATCCATGTCGCATCCTCAGATTGCATTCGTTGATGCTTATCGCCTTCGAAGAATAACCAAAAAAGTCGCTTCAGGTTGACTAGTTCATCCAATCCTGATCTTAGCCTCAAGTCCAGTGTCCGAACTTCTTCATTCCATGAATAATCTGGAGTCAAATTAAGAACCCTTAATTGGGTCAACTTGCCAAGTTGTCTAAACGCAGTACGCTGCATCTGTGGGCCCTCTGAACTCTCCAGGCCAACATCAACCTCAAGATTGACTGACATATGTGTCAGTCCAGTGCTAATCCATTCTGCACCAGCGATAATTTCTGTCAATGTAATCTTAGGTCCCCGTAGTTCCTTCAATCGTGGACAGTTGGACAGGATCGCTTGAACAACGCCATCAATTTCTCCAGTTTGTTTAATGAATTCCAGTATTTCAACTGTATCACAGAGTCTCCTATTCCTTCTTTTTCGTATTATATGTCCATCCTCCAGAATCTCTTGCTCTTCCGCTAATAGTTCCCGGATAGAGAGTGGACCGAAATCAGACCCTTGAAGAAATAACTGTCTTAGTTCAGTCAGCTGTTTAAGGAGTGCTGCCATATCCTCGTCCTTTATTTTCATGTTATAAAGCCATATTTTTGATAGGTCAGGCAGTGCGAAAGGACGATAGAGGAATGCCTCTCTGTAGAAATCATACTGATTCCCAGCAACTACCAGTGAACGTAGTCTTGGACATCTCCTTGTCAACATGCCGAGGCAATATGATGATGTATACGGATGTGGAGGGTTGGATATTTTGGTATGATGAAAATATAATGCGTTTATATTTGGGAAGATGAAGTTGTCCGCGTTGTCATCCATGAAGTCGGAAGGAAGTTGATGGATACATACGTGAGACATATCTAAATGCTTAACTTTCTTGCAAACTTGAAAGAATAGATCGGTTTCATCACTGCTTATTTGTGATCCATAAATCTTCAAGTACTCTAGGTGGGTGCATTCCATTAATGCTCCCCATATCTCTTGTAAACCAGGGCACTTGAATTCAAACAAAAACTTTGTAATGGTGGATCTGTGAGCCTTGATGAGATTGGAAAGATCGTTCGGGATTGAAAAGTCTTGGGATGACCTCATAGAGCAATTGATATATTTGAGGCGCTTGCAGCCTTGTAATAACCTGAACTTCTGTGGGAAGATGTTATAAAATACAAGCTCCTCAATATGTTCCTTGTAGTTCTGTAGCGCCTCAAAAGTAGGCTCCTTTGAATGAGATCCAGTCTGTATTTTTTTCCATATGAATTTGACAAGTGTATTGTGGAAGGCCTTGGAGACACGAATACAGTGTAAGAGGTCACTTCGGTCTAGATAATCACCAACAAGCGAAAGGATTTCTGGAATCCCAAAAGGATTCAAAATGAGGTTGTTCATGCAAAGTCAGAGATAGGGAGAGAGGAGAGAGATGATGGAGCAATTGATGCTTGATGATGCACACATGATTGCCAGGGCACGTGATCAAATGATTACTAAGAAATAGCCAATTCCTGAGAAAAAACAATGATCCTTTGCAGCCTATGAAGAGACTTGTGCATTGGAAGTATGGCAATCGAATCAACTAAAAAATAAGGGCCCTATTAGGCTCATCTGTTCTCTTCTTTTTTTTTTTTATAAAATCGTAGACTTTCCATTTTATGCTTGTTGAAAGAAACACGACATTTTTGTTTTTCCCGACAAACCGGTCTCAATTGCTTCTTTAAATATGAGCCCAATCTTGTTGTCAACAAGTAGAGGTAAGGTTTACTTGTTGTGTGACAAGCATTTGCTTGTTGGTTCTTTCATCTCTGCCCACTAATTAATCCTCTTTTCCTATTAATCTCCTTTTCACTTCAAGTCTATGTCTACTAGAGCAACGAGCACTCTCCTCCTCATAAGTAAAAATTATAAAAAATATCACCTCTTTATCCTACCCATTTATCCTTACGCGTCCATGTCTGTGCATCCAGTCCACAACAACTGAAGGGTAATTGTTCTGCAAGGCCCACATATTTCCATGTAAAATAGTGAATGCTTTGTCCCTTGTACACTGTTGGCCTGGATACAGAAGACAAATTTAGGCCTTGGTAAAGGACGAAGACTGAAATATAAAAGGTGAAGAAGGATGAGAAGGAGTCAGCATTCAGGCATTAATACTCATAGACATGAGTATTTTTTATAAAATTGAACCCATGAAGAGATGCTCCTGTGCAATACCCTGTGCTTTTGTCTAGGGAGCCTTTCATTAGCTTCTGCTATCACTTTATTCCGTGATAGGACAATGAATCGTGCCAGGTGTTGAGTAGATTAGGATGGATTGAATTTAGGAGAATTACTCCTTCTGCGCTTTTTCAGTTCCCTCTCAAGTCTGATAGAAAAAGATCTTGCTGGTTTGGTTTGATTTGAAATTAGCTCTGACACTGCATTACCTTTTATTTATCTTTAAGTCAAAGGCGGGGTATAGACCTTCTGGTAGCGCTGCTGGTAGCTGAATGGACTAAAGGGCTGGAGCTCACGGATTTGGCATTGTCTCAACGAGTACCTCATACTGTGAAGGACCGGGCACCTCCCGGACCTGAACCCACGTTGCAACGTCTCTTGCCATCTGCTCCACTCGCTGCTTGAATTGGATCAGCATGGTTATCAGTGTCACAATGGTTGGCGATACAATACCCGCGATATCCCACGTTGGTGGGAAAGATATACTGTTTTCGATATGGAACCTATAAAGTCGTCCACCACCAAATCTTCGTCTTTTATTTCCAAGTATGGAAGAGAGAAAGATTTGTTAGAGTGTAAAGATAGTGAAGGAATGTCGCTTTGTAAAACTCGTCCTAGATTCCTGTGAATCTCAGCGAACTTAACTGTGGACACATCCTAGTTATGTGTCGAGACAGTATGATGACGTGTGTGGATATGGAGGGTTGAGTATATCCATGCTCCTAAGTTTCTTGCAGACTTGAAAGAAGAGATAGACTTCATCATTAGGTGTATCTGTTCCAGAAATGGTCAAGCCGTCAAGATGGGTGCACCCTATCAATGTCTCCCAGAGCTTCCGTAAATGTTGATTTTATAATGTTAACGCGGTGATTATGAATCTGTGTGCCTTGACGAGGTTGGAAATATCCTTGTATGTAATGTGATGAGGCGGCCACAGCCTTGCAATGTTCTGCAGTCATTTCAGGAGTGCTGACGAAACACAAGTTCCTCAATGTACTTGTAGTTTGCAGAACCTTTATTGGATATCTCGAAAGAGGGGCAATGCGGATTATTTTCTAAAGGGATTGGACAAGTGTTTTGTGGAAAGCCTTGGAAATACGAATACAATGGAAGAGGTCGCCTCTATCTAGGAAACTACCAACAAGCATAATGATTTCAGGAAGATCCAGGGGATTCAGTTTGGTGTTGCTCATGATGCAAAGAGGAATGATGGAATACATTTAGGATGAAGATTTGAACAGGATTGACCTGACATATTGAATCCTTTTTGTATTCGGTTTTGTTTTTGATTTGGCATTTTGCCACTATTTTATTTAGTTTCTTTTTGGCGGCAGTGATGGGGGCTAGCAGACGCGATCGTGGGCAAGAAAGAACGCCAGGTTCTTGACTGCTCCCAGCTCTTTTTTGATTTATGAAAACATTAAAACATGGGGGCCATTCCCCTCGCATGAACGACGGACATAAAAAGAGTGTTTTTTGGTAACTGCAGTTTTTTTTTTTTTTATTTTTTTTTTATATATATATATATACAAAATGTTACTTATTAACAGCAAGTTATTTATGGAGATTAATAAACTAACGGAGAAAACCATTTTAAAAGACAGAAAGAACCCATGGACGTTCGCCTTGTTTTGGCTGGAGCTTGCTGCTTTCTGCAATAGAATCCCCTACTGTCATACGGATGCGCTCAGGCGTAGCAGGAAGAGAAAGGGAGAACGAACCAGGATGGCCGTTCTCCTGTCGAGCATACCAAAGAGCATGACGGATCGCAAAGTACACAGATGATCCAAGGAAAAGTGGAGGCTCTCCTACTCCTTTAGACTTGTAGATCGTCTTCACACTCTCATGAGTCACATCCTCAAAGAATGACACATTGAACTCTTGAGGGATGCACTGGAAACCTGGAATCTTGTAATTGCCAGGGCCTTGTGTGAACAATCGACCATTAGGGAAGTACAGTGATTCCTCGGTCGTAGACCAACCCATTCCTTGGATAAATGCTCCTTCGATCTGACCGATATCAATCGAGGGATTAATCGAACGACCCAAATCCATGGAGATATCCGATCGGATCACAGTGTGGTGGCCTGTCAAAAGGTCAACCTCCACCTCTGACACTGCTGCTCCCATCGTAAAGTAGAAGAAAAGTTGACCCTTGTTCTCACCCCATTTGTAACCAATATCTGGGACCTTGTAGAATCCATTGGCGCTAAGGTTGACGCGGTCAAAGTAGGCGTGATGCACAATCTCCTTCCAGGAGAGACCCTTGGCGCGGTAAGGCTCCAGTCGCGCATTAATCTGGTCGCACGCATCCTTGACTGCCATTCCATTCAAATCCGATGAGGCAGAGGCTGCAGTGGGTGAAGCATTTGCAACCTTATCGGTCGAAGTCTCTACAATGTGGATCATCTCCATAGGGATCTTGAGGCCCTCAGCGCAGACCTGAATCATCTTCGTGTGAAGGCCTTGACCCATTTCAACACCTCCGTGGGATAAAAGCACGGATCCATCGTGATAGATATGAATCATGGCACCAGCTTGATTGAGATGAAGAGCTGTGAATGAGATACCGTACTTTGTAGGGATGATACAAATACCACGCTTGCGCCACTTGGACTTCTTGTTGAAGTCTTCAACGGCAGCCTTGCGCGCATCATAGTTGGTTTTTTCTTTGAGCTGGTAGTAACCCTTGGGCAAGTGCCAGTCCTTGAGCTCCTGATTAAAGTGTGTCAGTTGGCCTTCTTTATACATATTGATCTCACGGAACTCTTCTTGACTCATACCAATACGTTCTGCGATTTCTGTCATGTATGTCTCCGCAATCACGTTCGCTTGAGGACCTCCGAAACCGCGGAAAGCAGTGTTGGAGTGGATGTTGGTACGACAGCAGCGGCCTACAGCACGGACATTTGGAATATAATAAACATTGTCGATGTGGCCCAAGGCACGTTCCATGACCGCAACAGACAAATCCGAAGACCAGCCGGCGTTCAAGTAAAGCTCAGTGTCCAAGGCCACAAGCTTATTGTTCTCGTCAAGACCGACCTTCCATTTACCCATGAAGGGGTTGCGCTGACCCGAAATTACCATATCCTCGTTACGATCCAACATACAGCGAACAGGTTTCTTCATATGATAGGAGGCAACCGCCATGATACAGGTCAAGGGGATGGTACGGGATTCCTTACCACCGAACCCACCGCCCAGGCGCTTGACCTTGCACGCAACCTTGTTAGCACTGATGCCAAGGACGCTAGCAACCACAGCTTGAGTTTCGTTGGCATTCTGAGTCGAAGCATAGATCTCAAACTCAGACTCGCCCTTGTTGTTGATAAGGACAGCTTGTGTCTCGAGGTAGAACTGCTCTTGGCCGCCAACACGGGTTTGACCCTCAAAGACCTTGGCACAGTTGGCGAAAGCAGCATCGACATCACCCTTGACAATCGACTTTGTAAGGGGGATGTAAGAGTCTGCGGCTATAGCCTCGTCAATGGTGACCACATGGGGGAGATCAATGTATTCAATCTTGACCTTTCGAGCTGCTTCTTGTGCAATAGCCTGAGTGTCCGCAACGATCACACCGATGATTTGACCAACGCAATGAACTTCCTCGGATGCAAAGATCTCTTCATCATCAAACATGGCTGCGCCCCAAATGTTGTTACCGGGAACATCCTTATGGTCAAAGTAGGCCCTGACGCCAGGGTGAGCAAGAGCTGCACTAGTATCGACACTGACAATCTTAGCATGGGCGCGACTAGAAAGGACCATGGCACCATAGAGCTCGTTATGAAGCTTGGGCATATCATCAGTATAGATGGCTTCACCAGTCACCTGCTTCATGGCTGCAACATGAGCGACACTCTTGGAAACAATATCAGTAGTTGAGTTCTGGATAGTACCCTTATCACTCTGAACACCAGAGGAGAGACCACGGTGGATTTCATCGGTCAAAAGTTTGATGTCTCCATGGTCATGTTCAACAGCCAATTTATGTTGTTCGATCACATCCCACCAGAATCGTACGAAGAAGGACTTTGCAAGAGTGCGACGGTACTCTGGCATGCCTCCAGGAGTGGAGACATCCATAGGAAGATCCTGATCTAAGAGCTCCAAGGCACGATCGAGGACATCCTTGTCACCCCAGTGTTTGCCCTTAAGGAATTCAGATGTCTTCTTGGCCTGGCATGTAAAGGCGCTCATACCACCGAAGCCAAAACCAATTTCGATGACAGTATTATCAGAAGCAAGATGTACACGAATGGCAGCTGTAACGATGGCGATGTCATCATCCTTTCTCTTGGCCTGTTTGAATGAGCGGATGTACTCACCGGGACGAGTGAAAGGAATATTAATCTGAGTTAAAATGTCGGTGGATGGGTTCAAGGCGGTCTTACGATAGCCGACAAAGAACTCGGTAGCGGGAACAACGCGAGCGGTTGAATCAACAGACTGGTCTGATGAGAGAATGCTGAAAGTCGAGTTGGAGGCGACAAAGACGGGGTTCAAATCAGAGATGGGGGAGGCAGTGGCAATGTTACCGGCAACGGAGGCGGCATTACGGATCTGTTTTCCAGCAAAATATTTTGTGTTGGCCAAGAATGCACGAAGGACATGGGCCTCACTCTCAGAGACCTTTTCAATGGTCTCCTCGAGTGCCTTCTGGAAATTGGCGATCGTGACACCGGCTCCGAGAGAGATACCTTCCGAGGTGATGGTGATTCCCTGTAGCTCGACAACATCATTCAGGTACACATAAGGAGAGTATTCCATGTACTTGAATTTTGTCTCTACTCCAACTTCAGTGTTGCCTCCAAGGAATTTTGCCTGAGGATAGTTTGCCTTGATTTGGAGGACCTGAGCAAGTGTAGTGGGACGGAACCATTGAGACTTTCGTCCGTTGAAGTACAGTGGCTCAGCAGTTTTCTTCATGAGTCTAGGAGGGAAGATGAGTTCCTGTGTAGGATCATAAGATTTGAAGAGAACGGAAGGGAAGCGGACAGAGCTCTCCTGAGGGATAGTGGAGGTCTTTTCAGGCTTTTCATCCTTACAGCAGCCACCATTGGGACCAGCACCACCGCAGCATCCACCAGCCTTCTTGCCATTGGCAGGGGCAGCAAAAGACTTTGCAGCATCCAAGATAGGGCGGTAACCAGTGCAGCGACACAGGTTTCCATCAAAAGACTCTTCAACATCGTGCTCTGTGGGGGTGGGGTTATTGCGGAGCAGCGCATAGAGTGACATGGCAATACCAGGAGTACAGAAACCGCATTGGGAGCTATGGATTACAAAGGATATTAATAATGTGTTTAAGAAAAAGGTTGCATGGGAATTTAGCAAAAAGGAAGGGTGACTTGGTTATTACTTACCCATAGCATAATGCAATGCGCTCTTGGACAGGATGGGGGTTCTTGTGGTTACCGAGGCCTTCAATAGTGATGACATGTTTGCCATCGACGGAGCACAGAGGTGTCAAACATGCGTTTACGTTCAGGTGGCTAGAAAGTCGTGTCCACGTTTGGGAAAAAAAAAAAAGTTAAAAAAAGATGTTAATGGTCGAGGGTCCCGTGGTATTTGATTACTGTGAATTTTTTAGAGCTGTTTCACCTTACCGAATATGTTGGGTGACCTTGTCATAGGAGGACACCATTACAGTGCAGGCACCTGTTGGTCATCAAATAAGCATGACAAACAAGTAGAAAGAGAATTCGAATCAGATCTCCATTAATACATCCAGCTCATCATTCTTTGTAAATTTTTCAGTCTGCAAATGAAATAGTTTGGGATGGAGGCATTTGGAAAATGAGGCTTTGCTCATTTCACACTTCATTCTTCATGCAGGAATTATACAACTCTGTAGTCGATGCATAAAGATGATAAGAAAAAAAAAGAAAAAATAAAATAGAGAAATAAGTTTCTTACCGCAACCACCCTCAGCACATCCAAGTTTGGATCCAGTAAGTCCGATAGAGCGGACATATTGGAGCAAGGTTGTATCGGGATCGGGATTGTCGAGGACGATCTCCGTGCCATTGAGGTAGAAGTGAAGCTTGTTCGTGAAGGAGGCGAGATCGAGTGAAGAAGCCATTTTCGAAGGATAAGGAAGGAAGGGGTGAATTTACACAGAAATGAAGACGAGAGTATCGGAGGGTATGGGTTAAAGATCTCAAACGAAGGGGAAAGGGGGTATAGACAGATGAAAAGAAAGAGAAAGAGATAGGGACGAGAAGCGTAGAGAGTAGAGTAGAGTAGAGTAGAGTATAGAGTAGAGGGTAGATAATTACAAAAAAGAGCTGATCAAGAGAGAAGAATTGGTCTTGAGCAGTGTTTCCAAAAGAGAAAGAAAAAAGGAAAAGGATGAATGAAGAGAAGGGGAGGAAGGAAAGAAAGAAAGGAGGACAGAAACATGTGTCCTTTTTAATTTATTCACTTTTTTTTTTTTCCTTCTTCCCCACGGATATTAAAAAAAAAGTGGAGACTTTAGTTGTGTTCAGTATGGGTTGTAACTGGATTGACTTGAACTGTTACACACATTATGAAAAAGTTTTTACTCAATCTCGGAAAACCTTATTGTAATGCTCGGTGCATTTCATCTTCCCCTTCCCTTTCCTCCCCCCCACATTATTCACATTGTTTATTTCCTCAAAGCAATCGTGGATCAAACAATCTCTTCCTCAACAGCACCTATCCAATCTTCGCCCAATGAAGTCTCTTTTTTACTCTTTTGCTCTTTTACCTGACAATCCCCATCTGCTTTAATTTTTATCTTATTGGTCTCGTTGTTTTTGTGTCAAGCTAATAAGCTAATTTTTTCGTTTTTAGGGTCAAATCCATTCAGGTCTAGAGTAGGAACACAGTCAAAATCAACGGGTCCACCTTCATTACACTTGGAGGATCCGTTTTTTTTTTTTTTTTTGATAAAGTAGTGCGGAGCCGTTAAAATGTCTTTATCTGTAGATAAATGTGAATATTTGTCGTATTAGATGTATAATATAATCCTCATGAGATAAGACCATGCAAAGACAAGTTATCCTTTTGTCATCCCCATCCCACAAATGGAAAAAAAAAAAGGCGGGGTTCCCCACGTCCCCACTCACCCACCTATTCGGACTTTTTTTTTACTTGGATACATGTACCATTGGCCAGTCATCGTTCAGAAATAGCCTTTTAGGTTCCGTCAACGTTACACAAATCGCTCTTGTGCATCCGGACATTCCCTAGCACCTTCAGCGCACGTTCTTCCCGAACATGTATTATATTTATATACAAATATACTCCATGTACATGTACAAATACAAATATATAGATGTCCATAATAAATATACATGTATCGTATAGACGCCAGTTTTTCAAGATCGCGTTTTGATAAACAACCAATTCACTGGTTACATGGGAAAGGGGAAAAGGGGAAAAGGGGAAAAGGAGAAAAGGGGAAAAGAGGAAAGGAAAAACGGAAGATCTTTACTCAGCAACAGTGCTTACACAGCGCAAAAGCAACAAAGATCCGCCGTAGCCCGAACCCTGTATAAGCCCATAATGACCACAAATCACGTTCATAGATTGGGACTCGGAATCATAATTTCGGAGTAAAGATAACACATGGTACAATATACAAATATATAATTTATTTCTTCTTCTTTTTAGCATCTCGGACATCTTTTGATCTCTGTGTCAGTCGTTCAGCTTCTTGACTGATGATCTCATGCTAATAATTCAAAAAAAAGTTTCATCTGTAAGTATATATTGTATAAGAACTTTTGGCCTCCCAAGTAAAAGTGATGTTATATATCTGATCAACGATTACGCAGGCTGTAGCAAATCAGTGCCTGTAACGTGTTCATGTACAGTACAGTCCTCCGCAATCCAAAACCAGAGTCTGTCCAGATAAGCTTTTTTTTTTTTTTTTTTTTTTTTTTTTTGAAACGACTGCCATTACCAGACTCGCATTTCTTCGAGCAGCCAGCTAAGATTTGAATAGATATGATATTGATATGATACATCAGATAAAATTGTCAGGTACATCCAGATCTAGGCATATCTGTACGTCGTATCAAGTTGAGTTGAATCGAGTTGAGAGTTTTTTATCATTTCAGATTGCAAAAAAAAAAAAAGAACCTTGACATCGTCCACGTTTACAGTTGATCTTTTTGCATGTCTATCACCATCAATCATTCAGAAAAAAAAAAAAATGTACAAATTCAATCAGTTGGGTACAAGTGAATATTATACTATATGAAAGGACATTGGACATTAGAGAGTTATATTCGAGGTATAAAAGAGATTCGAACAATAGACATGCTTTTATTCCTTACTTTGAAAATATCTCCAGATCCTTGCCCAATGATTCTATATACAAATGTTTTTAAATATATAGGGTATATGGTTAAAACTCGGTCCCAAAAGAAAATGAAGAGAAATAAATAAAAATAACAAAAAAAAAAAAAAAAAAAACAATCCTCTTACCAGCTTGAGCAAACACCAGCTCTGCCAGTGATGCGATGAGATGTGGGGTAATCACTACATTGAGATCCGTTTCTATTTTTTTTTTATTTTAACAACATTAACTTTTACTCATAGAAGACGCTTTTTTTTTTCTTTTTCTTTTCTAGTTCTTACTCTGACTTTGACAAATCTCACCGACTGTGTACCAGATTGCTGCCTTCAGCCTCTATTAATTTTTTAATAGTAGAACTGTCAATTATCGGATGTCTCCCACCCCCTTTCTTTAAAAATCTCACAGTTGTTCGGTCTCAAGGACCAATGGTTAAAGGACATTTCCACGGGGAATCTCATTACCTCTCGTGGATTTTCTTCATTGTCACTCATCGCTACAAAAAAAGAAAAAGGAATGGGCTTGGCCCAAAAGCAATGAAATCAACCATGCTCTTTTAAAGAGAGAAAAAAAAAGTCACGTGCCATGTGCAATAGAAAAACTAGAAATACATTTTTTTTTATTATATTTTCAGAATTCAATCATAGAGTCGGATAATTCATCTTGATCGTCCATCTCTGCATCCTCGTCTTCCTCTTCACTTTCTTCCTCCATTAGGATTGACATTAACTTTTCAATATTTACAGGATTTTCGACCAACATATTTGGCGATATATCTATCGTAAAGGCCAGGTCCTTTGCAGTAATGGTCGTTGTCCGTTTTGTATTGTGGCCACTGTTATTGTAGGAAGCTGCTGGGTACGCTGATGTGGAGGAGGTTAAAGGCTGTTGGGTTACTGTGGAGGATGCTGCTTGGAATGGATTAAAATCCTCTTCGGTGGGAGCAGGAACAGTGGCAGTAGCAGTAGCAGCCGTCGTCACCTGTAATAGTTTGCTACAGGATTGTCCCGATGTTGCACTGTTGGGATCTCGTCTAGGTACTGTGATTCCAAGTGCTCGATTTGATCTCAGTTTAATAATGCAGTTGCTGATAATATTCTTGATATGACTCTATTTTTTTTTTTTTTTTTTTTTTTTCAATAAAAAAAATGGTTCGTTTCAATTCACTTTTACCAAAACCACCATGAGCAGAAAATTCGAAAATCGAAAATTGATTTTTTTTATACCTCCAAGGCATGAAGCATGAGTTCTACAGCACCTTCCTGAACACCGCTCATTAATCCGTTTTCCATTGCTACTGCTACCATTCTATCCCGCATGGATTCAAAATTCGGAAGTTCCTTTGAATCAAAGCATAGGGGTGCGTGGTTGCCTCTGTTATATTCCGCAATCAGTGCTGGTTGAGATACTGTTGGGGCCATAGGTCTAGACACACGATGTTCTTTTAACCTCTGTTTGATCATCATACTGCTTTTTTTGTGGGTCTCCTGTTTCCAAACGCAAATAAAGATAAAATAATAATAATAACAGTGATGATAGTATAAATCATTTAGCATTTAGCATTTGTCTTTTAGCATTTAATTTGATGCGGACAAAAACGTTTAGATCAAAATATCCTGTGAATGATTTTTTTCTTGTTTTCTCCTTTTTTTTTTTTTTTTTTTTTTTACCTTCAGTCCTTTAATCCTCTCACGTTCCGCTTTTCCAAGACTCAAAATTTGATTCTTCATTTTCCGCCTTTTGGGATCTTTCTCTCTGAGAAGTTTCCCATCTTTACCTCTCTTTCCTTTGCCCCATCCTACTGATCCTTTACTTGGAGGCGGTGCCTCCTTTTGTGCATTATGGATATTGGCCAAAATAAACTGATTGTGTAATGGAGCTAAAGTAAAAGAAAAGTGTCATATTAGGTTGAAGGTGCTTGTTTATAATTAGTGAATCATAGTAACTTTTAAATTCCTTACCGTTTTTGCGTGAGAGATATAGATTAGCATAAAAATCAAATTCCTGTCGGTTGAGTTTTCCTTGAACAAAGTCTGTGAGGGCTTGCCAGTAAGAAGGTCCGTTCTCTCCTAGGGCTTCTGCTAGTTGTTGTTTAAGCAGGAGAACATCCTGACGTCCATCTTTGTCTGCTGACGGTGGATGCATTGCTTGACTAATAAAACCAAACTTTGGTGATGAATCCTTCAGAAAGGGTTTGTCTTTTTTTTTTTTTTTTTTTTTTTGCAAATGGATGGATGCAAGTTGTAAAAAGTGAAATGGGATTGGAGAACATTCGCGAAATGTTTGAATGGATTTGTGGCTCTCTTGAAGTAGGACTGCTGAATTTTTTGTTATTCACCTTGGCCTAAGAATTGGACTCTAAAAAACCATTGACAACATTAGGTAAAGAGAAAAATTGGTTATTGCAAGGCTGTTTGTCACTACTTCTTTATTCAGTTTATGTTCAAACTGCAGTGGGCAAGCGAGAAACTAGTCAACTATGGAAGTACAACAGCTTTGTTCGAAAGAGTTGCCTTATTCAATATTCAATCTGTCAAATTCCAGAATATCTCGCGTCTTTTTTGCGCGTGATAACGCGTAGCTTAAATAAATTGGTGGCGTATGACACCTTTGACTGCAATGTAAAAAAGAAGAAAAAAAGAAACTCTCCATCTCATTCATCCATTATAATACCAACATCCGTTACTGTCGGAATATCAATCAATAATCATTATGGAAGATTCACCTCGGGAAAAATTCATCTCTAGCCAAGAAATCCTCTCCACCATTAATTGGGAAGATGTTCTTCAAAATCATGAAGCCTCATTGGAGGCCATTTCCTTATTCAACACACATATGGACATTCTGTTGAAAGGTAGGTGAGCTGAGATATCTACGGATCATAAAAAAGAAAAGAAAAGAAAAGTAAAAAAAAAAAAGTAGTAAGATACGTAAAGGATTGTAAAAAAGAAAAGAAAAAAAAGGGTAGTAAGGTGCATAAAGGATACGCGTGTTCATGATAAAGTTATCATTATATTCTCTTTATTTTTTTCTTGGGAGATAGCATTGATGGACATCAACATGAAAAAGTTCTCACGGTTCCTGAAGGATGCAGTATTGGCAGTTGCACGACCTATCAAGACTTTACATCGAATTCGAGAGTTCATTGCTGCAGAACCAAATTCAAAAATGGCACAGAGTATTCAGGAAAGTCAACAATCCATCGACACATTTGAAGAACAGATTTCCTGTAAAGTCTATGAATTAGTCTCCAAGGTCGTAGAGTCATGGGGCGATCAACAGGCAAGTTTTATTTTATCTTATTTTATTTCCCATAACTCTATATCCATACGACGGGGCCTTAAAAAGATTTGTTTGTATAAATTGATCAATATATAGAGATTCGAGTTACGCCTAAGCCCGGAGCCCCAGAATGAGTTAAACAATCAACATTATCTACTGGTTTATCTTATTTTGTTACTCCTTCATGATTGGGTCGCACCTGAAGAAATGGAAGCTGCTTCAACATATTTCGAGTATGCGAATCCAAAATACAAAAAGTTTTCACCACGCGGACCAAGTGCTCCTCCTACGCCAAAGAAAGATGCCAAAGTCACTTTGCGTCATCTCCAACGCATGATGGTAAGCAAATATAGAAACGATCTAAAGAAAAAGGAAAACGAAAAAAAAAAAAAAAAAAAAAAAAGTCATTTTTAACACCCGGACCATATGATATGTGTCTCACCACATTTTTTAGGAGCTCTGTACGAAATGTCATCTGTCGATTGAGGCCTTGTTGGTCTGGAAGCCAATGCTCGGTACGGTCAAAATAAAGCCCTTTTTTTTTAGTTACTGCAAGTATATATCTTATTAACTCCTTGTCTTTTTTTTTTTTTTTTTTTTTTTTTTTTTCATCATTGATTTATCTAGTATTCTCAACAGGAGCAGACGAGAATGACGACAGTTTTGATGAAGAAGCACTCGTAGAAGACAACTATCCACTTTCAGAGACTGGGATCACCACTCTAGTGTCGGGCATGATCTATGCCATGACCAACCCTACTCTACTCCCTAGCTCCTTTACACTCCCATTAACTCTTGCTCAGAACTGGGTCTTTACAACGGCAGGAGGCGTAGCCAGTGGGTTTTTGAGCAGTGATGAATCCCAGCTGCCAATAGCTGATAAGGCTCTTCTCGTTTTACTCTATGCAATCGACAGGACCCCTCTGGATGGATTTCAGATGGGAGCATTGGATTACTGCACCAAAGATAGTTCTATGGATCGGATGGGTCTCTTCCAGATCTTTCAGGTCATGGTCTCCTTTGCAGCAACTTGTCCATCTTCTAACCACCGATTCTTCTGTTTTCATGGCTTGGACCGATTGATCCAAGCTTGTGAAGATGATGTAAAGCTGTATCTGTTGGAGCAGCTGGTCTCGCCGAAATGCCCATATGAATCCATGAGAGCTGCTTCCATCAATCTGATCAAGGCTACAGTAGAGAGGTCATTCACTAGGTTGGATAAAATTAGAGCAGAAAATACAGTAAGGATCAAGATGGATATTACGGATGGACAAGAGAAGGGTAGATTGGGATTGAATCAAACACAGAGTCCATTTACTAGCCCACTCCTATTGAAGACATTTCTTTCATCGATCTGGAGATTTGAAGCGAAAGCGTTCGAACATAGTCCACTCAAAAATGAAAGCGCATGGTGGGACAAGTATGACCTGTTTATGCATGCGCTCAACTTTTATTTGTTCCTCCTTTTGCGAGACTCAAGCGAAGACAACCTGGTATGACGGAGGTTTTTTTTATAAAAAAAAAAAAAAAAAAAAAAAAAGGATGCACAAACCAAGGCTGACTTGACATGTATTTTTTTTTTTTCTGTTTATTTAGACAGAGATCTGGTTGACATCCAATATCCAGGATACACAAAAGGAATTTATAAAACCTTTAGCGGAGCGGGTCCTGGAGCTGAAGGAGGACTATATTCAACGACTGGATAAGGTAGAGATGGATCAAGACCGAGTATTCAATGATGATATAGACGAAGCTCCATTGTCCAGGATCAAGAGTAAGAACGGGGTGGTCAATTTCGATATTGAAATGGGGAGTGGAGATGATGATGAGGAAGAGGATCAAAGGGCTGATGGGACACAGCGTCCAAAGGACACAGCAGAGGATCTGAACCAAAAGATGATGCGTCTAGAGATCATGGATGAGCTGTTAGAGAGGATTCAGGAACAGACCCAACCCTTGACCCAGGAACAATGACTTAAACAAAAAATAAAAAAAGAATTATAAAATTTCATTAAATAAATCATTTATATTTGAAAAGATCAACCAACTGATCCGAACCGGTGTTTGTGAAACCTTAAATATTTTTTAAAAAGCATGTTTTTGTTTCATTTCATTTCTCATTCATCCTTTACTGCTCATTTTATACCCCTTTCCTCTCCACCGTTTAGCTTTAATAACAAAAAAAAAAAAAAAAAAAAAAAAAGAAAAAAAAATCTTTCTAGACACCTTGACATCATATAATACTCGCTTTAAAAATAATACAAGAAAAAAAAAAAAAAAAAAAAAAAAAAAGTAAAGAAGCAATGTCTGCTCCTCTAACGGGTCTCAAGGTACTAGAGATTGCGGGTTTAGCACCCGCGCCGTTTGCTGGAAAGATCCTAGCAGACTTTGGTGCGGATGTGGTCCGCATCGACCGTTGGACATCCGTCATGAATTTGGATGTCCTTGCACAGAACAAACGATCCATCGCCCTTAACCTCAAATCACCCGCCGGTATTGAGGCTCTGATTCGTCTCTGTGAAAAGGCTGATGTCATCATTGAACCCTTCCGTCCCGGTGTTATGGAACGTCTTGGTCTTGGACCTGATGTCCTCTTGAAACGGAACCCTCGATTGATCTATGCCAGGATGACAGGATTTGGACAGGAAGGGCATTATGCCAAAATGGCTGGACATGATATCAATTACCTCTCCATCTCTGGTATCTTGAATGTAAAAGAAAGAAGAAAAAAAAAAAAAAAAAAAAACACTGAATCCGCAATTGGTTGAAATTGCAACTTTTTTTACCTTCTTATTCACATCACTTTTTTTTTTTTTCTGTTTCTCTAATAAACCCTGCCTTAGACACTGGGGAGACATGACGAAAAGCCTGCTTTCCCAATTAATCTTCTAGCAGATTTTGCGGGTGGTGGACTTATGTGTGCATTAGGAGTCCTTTTAGCTCTCCAGGAGAGAGCACGTTCTAATAAGGGTCAAGTTGTGGATGCCGCCATGATCGATGGTGTATCCTACATTGGATCATTTGTCTACAATATGCACAAGACCGGTGCTCTGTTCCAAACCCCTCGTGGCACAGGTCAATTGGACGGTGGCGCCCCTTTCTATGACACTTACAAGACAAAGGATGGACTCTATATGGCCGTGGGTGCAATTGAATCGGAATTCTATAAAGTCTTACTCCAGGGACTCGGATTGGATGCAGAGAAAGATAAATTACCCGAACAGATGGATACAAACAGTTGGCCCAAAATGAAGGAGCTATTCACCAAAACCTTCTCAACCAAGACACAGGCAGAATGGGTCAAGATCTTTGACCAGACCGACGCATGTGTGACCCCAGTGTTGGATTATTATGAGATGCCAACACCAGCACCTGCGCCTAAACTTCAAAGAACACCTGCGATCAAACAGACAAAGGAACAAGAGATGTTTTTAGAGGTGGGTGGGCAAAGCAAGGCTATCCTGGAAGAAGCAGGGTTTTCAGAGGAGGAGATTCGAGATCTAGTGGCCAAGAACGCAGTTACAGGAGTGGGACTAGAAAAGACGTCACTGTAGTAAATAAAATGAATCACTTTGCAGCCACTCAGCGTTAATGCATTCTGTCAATAAAGATTTTTTTTCCTATTTGACGTCACTTCGACCCAAATAAAGAATCGAGAATCTCTTTCTTCTTCACACACATGCCGCCCAAGAAAACAACTGCATCCGTATCAAAGCCTTCAGAATTAGCAACCCTGAACAAAAAGGCTGGGAATGCTCACGCTGAATCTCTTCTTGCTCTCCCAAAGGTTCTCACCAGAATCGTGCATTTCCTCCCAAAAAAGGATCTGCCAAATGTCTGTCGAGCCTCACGTTTATTTCATTCTGTTGCTATTCCAGAGTTATGGCATACTGTGTATGTGAACGATAATACTTATGACGACGATTTCTACGACGACGAAGAAGAAGAAGAAGAAGAAGAAGAACAAGAACAAACCCAGGCAAATAACAAAGGAAAGCAAAGTAAATCATCGCCTGAGGAGCGTAGCAAGAATCTTCGTTTGGGACTCGTTCGCTATGGTCGCTTTGTCAAGAACCTTATCATCAGCCCCCAAGCCGGAGACATCGAGCTGATCGCAAAGAATTGTACCCGTCTTGAGTCCTTGGATTTATCAGGATCCGCTGTCAATGAAGCATCTCTTCGCATCTTAATCCATAGTGACCCCTACAAGACTTCACCCCAACCAACAGGAGCCGCTCAAAAACGCAAGAGACCGATGGCAACCACTGATGGTCGTAAAGGAAAGCGCCATGCAGGTGCTGAGGGCATTGATGGCGCTGACGTTGAGGATAATGAAGACGATGATGCATATGAGGATATGAATGCAAAAATGCTTAGATTTAGATCGGAGGCTGTAGGCGAAAACAAAAGTGAATATTATCAATGGGAGAACACTCATGACGAACCACCTTCAGCAACTGGGTCCAAACAGGGATCCAAGATTCAGTTCCCATTCTTCCTTGAGCGTTTGATCTTGAATGGCTGTAGCCGTCTAACTGGGAAAGCATGCGCAGCCGTCGTCCCTCTTTTAGGTCCTCAACTCAAGTCCTTGCAGCTTGAATCCGTACCCAAAGTGACCAATCCGGATGTCACCACCATATTCGAACATTGCCCCAACCTCACTCGCGTGAACTTAGCTGGTGCAAAGATCACTGACGATTTCCTCAAACTCTTGGGCGACCCCAATAGCAATCTCCACAGGAGTATGGAATATATGGATGTGAACCAGGTCCGGGTCACGGACCAAGGTTTGGTACCCCTCATTCGAGCCAGTCAGAAGACGCTGAAATCATTCAGTTGTGAGAGTAATCATGCTGTAACTGATGAGATCCTGGTTGCATTCGTGGAAGATCCTGCCTCGGTTATGAACCATAATGGTGTTGTCTTCGATCAACCGAGGAGTGTCGAAGAACTAATCAAGCTCGAGACCGTGCCCAATAAAGCATTACGGCATATCAATCTCCGCAACTGCAACAAGTTAACGGACGAGGGCATGGCCATCCTCCTCAAACAAACCATCATGGTTCAATCCGTGGTGTTGGAAAAAACTCGGGCTGGGGATAATGCCTTGCTAGCATTGGCACAATCGTCCAGGACATATATGGAGACAGTTCTCGGTGTGGGTACGCCCGAAGCATGGCATAATCATGCAAGTCTTAGTGAGCTCAAGCGAGGGTATGTGGAAGACTCTAAAGCAGCAAAAGCAGCGGCGGAAAGAGAAAGGGAACTGCTCAAGACGTCTAACCAACCCACTACTGAGAGCATGGTGTTCAAAGGAGACACCATCAAAGGAGGTTTAGATTTGCTCTCGCTCAAGGGCTGCAAGAACGTTACCAACAAGGGTGTGCGCGCTATTGTTCGATCATGTATTAGTATCCGTGGACTGATTCTTTCACATTGCCCCAGAGTATCATTGGAATTCTTTCGAGGGCCTTGGGCTGCTGGCAAGCATCTAGAGTTCTTGGACCTTGCTACGGTTTCATTGGAGGTCACTTCGACACATCACAAGGAAACCAATGAAGAGTATTTCGATAGCTTGAGGTTCCCAATAGAGTTTGCGTCGGAAAGAGAGAGGGGCGACAAGGACTTGGATGATAATGGAGGCGCCGATTATATAACTCTGAGCGAGAAACCACAAAGAAAACAATGGGTTTGTATCAGGGATACCAGACCACCCCATTTCAACACACCGAGGGAACGTACCGTCCTCCGAAATTTCTACCACAAGCTCGGTACGATGAGTAAGCTCCGAGAACTGGACACGTGTGATGGCGATTACCGTATCCGAGTCAAGGATGGTCTTGACCTTGTGTTACCAGCTTTACAGCAGTCCTTAGTAACCTGGAACATGGTTCGTAGACTCGGTTATTGTGTTGGCGGTCGTGAACTCGTCTGGTTTGGGAAGCACTTTGGCTATGGCTTTGACTTCACTGCCAAGGATACCGAGCGCCAGAAACAGGAAGCACAAGTCAGAGAGGGCAAGAAGAAGCGTATCTCCAAGCTACAGCGCATCACTGTAAGGGATCATTCGACCGAAGGAATCGATGGTGACATATATGACTGGTTCATAAATCAAGGGATCTCGCTTGACGAGGATGACCAGTTTAATATTGATATGATGCATAAACAGACGATGAAATTCGATTTTAGCATGTAAAAAAAAAAAAAAAAAAAATGCTTTCAAAGGCAATAGCGGATAGCACTATCGATTAATCTGCTCACATCGTACTGTTACTAAACAGGAAAATAAATTATGCAACGTGAACTAGGACATATCCAAATGTTTGCCATTATTCATAGCCATAGAAGACTGCACGCCAATCTTGTTTGAACAAAAACCACGCTCCAACACCTTCTTGGCGCCATGCATGTCAATAAATTACATACTCTGAATCTTCTGGAAAAGGGAAAAAAAAAAAAAAAAAAAAAAAATTAGTTGTGGTTCCTTCCATACTATCTTCTGGAAGTATTTGAGGAGCAGAGAAACCCTATCAGATCATTTTAAACGCATCTCTGCAGTTGGCCGATCAAGACGACAATGAATCCGTTCTCTGAATTGCTCAAAAAAATATAAAAAATAAAAAATAAAAAGAGTGGCAAAATGTCAAACAAAAATATTTGCCACCATTCATAGCTATAAAAAGGTCATACCTAACATGCCATCTCTGCTTGCATCAGCTCTATCACCGCCTCCTGATATCATGAACGATATTAAATTGCACCCTCTGGATCTTCCAGAAATCATCTCACATATTGGCAGATTCCTCAGCCGAAAAGATCTCTTGAATTGTATCCGCATCTCGAGCACCTTCTACAATACACTTATCAGCTCCATTTGGGGGAAGATTAGGGTCGACTCCGAACAGCATCCTGAACGTTTAACCTGGCCTACTGGCGAAGCATTGTAAAAGTACAAGAAATACATTGAGAATCTACGGTTTTATAATGTATTCCCACAAGAATACATGTCGTTGAAGGGATGCGATCGCCTCCAAGTAATCCATTGGTGTACGAATGATCAGGTCTCACACTCACTTGGACAGGGTCAACTTCCAAACTTAATCAAGGCCCATAGCTCCACCATCATCAGCTTTAAATACAGCGGCTTAAGTTTACGTGAACTATGGGAAGCGCTGCTAGAATGCAACAACCTCAGAGAGTTATCCGTAATGTATATGAGAATAAGTGACGATAGCGCCTATTCTTTCCTTCAAGTCTGCAAGAAAGTAAGGAAATTGACGTTAGACAATCGTACAACCCTTCAATTACCTGCCGACTTCTTGACCAATGAGACAAACAAATACCTTTTCCCGAACATACAGTCATTGAAGCTTCGGGCCGAAATAATTAACCTGCCACACCCATACACATCATCGTATTGCCTCGGCATGCTGGTTAGAAGGTGCTCAGGACTGCATTCATTGGAGTTTTATATAAACAGCGCTGTTACTCAAGGCGATCAAGAGGTGTGCGATGAGTTCTACAGGACAGTGTTCCTTCAACATCCCTGGACATTAACAAGTTTATCAGTTTTGGCTTTCGCGTTCATGAGTATAAAGGATGAGGATATGGCAGCACTCCTTAGGCGAATGACTAAAGTAAAGCGGCTAGATGTTTCAAGTTGTGATTTCGGCCCACTCTCTATGAGAGAATTACTTTCAAGCGAGCAAGAGGTATGGAAGATGGCCATTTAGTACGAAAAAAAAGGCACCAAAGACTTTGCGATGCAGTTGAAGCAATCAAGTTCAATATACACGGCACTAAGACTGACGGTATTGTCCAAGCAGTCCTAACGAATTGTCCATCCCTGAAGGAGCTGATAGGACCTAAAGTCACAGTGCCAGAGATCATCAATGGTGCAGAATGGGTATGCACCAAGTTAACTGACTTGACCGTCTTTCTCGAAAATGACATCGACCAAGAGACTGCGGAAAGCATGGAGCAGCAGCGGATTGTGTTTAGAAAACTAGGCAAGTTGACGGATCTAGAGGAACTTTATTTAACAGGGTATTGTAAAAACCGTGGGGAGGTAAGGACGCTGGACTTGAGATTAAACGCAGGTCTGGATGAGTTAGCCAGCCTAAAGAACCTGTCATCGCTATCCTTTGTTTCCTGTACACACCAAAAGATGCAACCTGAGGATGCAGCATGGCTGTTGAAGAATTGGCCGAGAATTGAGTACCTGGAGGGACTCGTCAACATTGAACCGAGTGTATGCAAATCGATAGATGAAATACTTAGTCCACGTGTATGGTTGAATTATTGAGGGCATTAGGAAAGCTACAGTCAAAGCCAGACAGGCTAAGGGATAAGGACTGGGTTGTTATGTCCGACCCCGATATGCAAGGAATTGAGATTTAGTCGAATATAGTCATAGTTAATGAAGATCATTTTTTAACAGGTAAAAAAAAAAAAAAAAAACACTGTCAGGCTTATATTCTTTTTTATAATTATAAATCGACTAATAAGCTACCAATGATGCGAGTTGCAGCCGGTAATTTAGTATCGCTGGGGGGATTGCGTAAAAAATGCCTTGTAAGAGGTGCAGAGGCAAGTGGCTTACTACATCTTTTTTGCTAAGAATTCATATCTTTTATGACTATGATCATCTTTACCGCTACCATTATTGTTGTATAACTAATGCCGCCAAACAGATATATAGATATATATTGCAAAGCTCATGCCCCACCAAGCATCAGGTCGATAGTCCAGAAGCATATTGTGAGGCTTTAGAAACTTAAACACCGAAGTGTATTCACTCTCTTCCCTTGGAGGCCTATTCGGATCTTTAATACTTAGCCAGTTCTTTACCATCCATGCCACATCCTAAAGGTCTATCTGCTGTATGTCACCTTCAAGGTATAGCCGAATCAAGTTCCTCAGCCGGCTAGTCCATGAAGACTTGCTCTTAGTTTTAAATCCAGTGTCCGTACTTTCTCACACATTAAACTACCCCCTGTTAGTTCCAGATGCCGTAACCGTGCCAACTTTCCAAGTTATTTTTACACAACACGCGCCTTCTGCAGACCCTTGTTCAATGTCTGTCTCGAGGGTGATATTCAGATCAATCAGATTAGTGCTCGCCCATTGTGCACTATTGATAATTCCTGCCGCTGTGATTTTTGGCCCCCACAGTTGCCCCAGGCATGGGCAATTGGATAAAATCGCTTGAACAGCACCATCAGCTCTTTCAGCTTGACTTATTTTCAGTATTTCGATTGTGTTGCATAATCTCTGTTCTCTTTTTTTCCGCACTGAGTGGTGTACAGCGTTCAGGACTTCCTGCTCGTCTGCCAGCAACGCTCGCATGGAGAGTGGGTGAGACCACAACATGGAGCTAATAGCCGCCTTAGTTCAGTCAACTGGTTGAGAGGTTCCTGAATTGTCAATTTCCAACGAACGTAGTTGTGGACTTCTCTTAGGCAACATGCTGAGGTAATATGATGATGTATACGAAGAAGCGAGTTTGAAACACTTTAAACCTAGTGTATTTATATTTGGGGAAACAGATCTGACATCGCCGACTAAGGATTCAGTAGGTAGCCTCTGTATTAATACATGATCCAAATACCGAAGCTCCTTGCAGACTTGAATGGTTAGCTCAACATCGTCAATTATCCTTGTATTAATTAGTCCTAGGCGGTTGAGGCTAGTACATCTCAACACCACCCTCCAAATTCTTTGCAAAACCAGGTTCTTACCTTTACATAAGTTAAATGTGGTGGCCGTGAATTTATGAGCCTTTACAGAGTTTAAAAAGTTGAATTGGACTGGAAAGCAGCATTGAATATATCGCATTGAATTCGATGGGCCGAAGGCGATTACAACCATGCGATAACTAAAATTCATTTGGAATGAAAATTAGAAATATAATCTCCTCGATATATTGCTTGTTGTTCCGTAGCGCTCCCCTAGTAGGAAATTGCAAATGAAAAGGGTAGGTCCTGATTATGCGGAGTGAAATATTTTTGAGATGTGAATACAGCTCAGAAGGTATTTCCGACCAAGGGAGTCACCAATAAGAGAGACGGTTTCAGGGATATCCAAGGACCCAATCTGACGTCGTCCATGTTGCAAAAAAGCTATCGCTGAATGAATGTGGTGTTGGACGAAAACAGATGCTTCAATTTAGAATTCCATTTTTATACTTTAAGTTTTACACTTAATATTTCATTTTGCCACCAACTTCATTTGATTGGGATTGGTCAACTTTATGTGACTGAAATTGATTATGCCTACACATCTTGATTGCTACATTGATCATTGGCTGAATTCCACTCAATGTAGGCATAAATTACAAATCAATACATTCATGAGCTCATTCACTTCATCATCCGAGACAGTTAGTCTTAATGCTTGCAAGAAGCGTCGTGATAATGGACAAAACGAAGAAGAGAATTTAAGGCAAAAAAAGAGGGTTACCAAAAATTTTAAACTATCAAACGTCCGTTTTTCTGTGGGGTACCATATAGAAAAAACAACCAACCCGCCAATGGTGCACTCAGAGACACTCACAAAACCTGATCTCTATGGATAAAAGGACCTCCCTTTCAAAGTCAACTCCGGTGTATAGAATGCAATGTCACACTTTATGTCAACAAGACGATCTATCCCGACAAACCCGCCAGGAGAACCTGACGGTATAGGGGTACACAAATCTTTGTCAAGAACTTTCATCCACTATTTCCCTTAATTTAACCCTCAGCAGCTGTTAAGCATATTGTAACTCAACACTGCTGCATAAGCTCTACACCATACTGTAGAACACAACTGTTTATTACAGGGCTGTGGTTCTCATTATCATACTGGGCCCTCTTGCCATTCGGCATTGCATTCGTCTCAAGATTGAAAAAAAAAAAAAAAAAAAAAAAAAAAAAAAGACATAGCAAGACCTTGGTATGACCGTCATTCGGTACCAGCATCAGCACATCTAGATTGGGGTTTGCATGACTCTTACAGCCCTTAATGCTGTTGGTTTTAGTTTTAGTCACGTGTAGAGGGTTCGCCACTAACTATTTAACGAGCAACAGCTCAGGAAAATCTGGCTCCTTGTTCCTTATTTTTACACAAGAGCCATTTGAGTACTGACTGTTCTCGTTCAGTCTTTGAGTAGTGTGTGTGTTCTTTTATTGTGTTAGAATTATTTTATCTATCTGCAGCTGGAAGTGACCGGCTTCATAATCCACCGGACATAGATTTTAAACGAGCTCCTGAATGCGAATTGTTAGTTGATAAGGGTGAATTGTGTCGGGATGGGCCAAGCTCTGTCGTACGCATAGATCAATAAAGATGAATGTGGGATTTTCTCATCGTAGCTGAGTTGTATAGTCTCAATAGGCGCGTTCGTATTCATCTGCGTTACCCTGTTTTTCCTTTTGTCTCATTTATCACTTTTTTTTTTTTTTTTTTTTTTTTTTTTTTAGTTGCCAGTTGTACAATTCAGAAGAGCAAAGAGCAACTAGCCCTATTGGAATCCTTCTTTCTCTTCGTCATTTCTATTAATCAGGCTCTCTTTTCCCGTCAATGTTTTGGATTTTATGTGCTATGTAAATGTGAACGCACTGTAACATGGTAAGCGCCTGTAACAACACACGTCCACCAAAGTGGCAGTCCGAAATCATTGACTAAGGGACAGCTCATAGACTCTACTTAAGGAATTAACCAGAGCTATGCAGTTGTATGAGCGCAGCTAAAGCTAAATACATAGGCCTTAAGGCATGCTACTGCTACTAGACAAAAAAAAAAAAATTGCACTTTTGCACGACGTTTTCCTCTAAAGAAATAAACCAATGCTTGATGAGTAGAGGTGCTTTTAAAAACTTATGGTCAGCAACCTTTATCTTTGACACCTTTGTAGATTAGGTTGAAGGTCCTTTTCTCCTTTCAGTAGAGTATGAGCTATATTGATTATGGAGCTCGTTCGACAAATCAAATGTGCAGCCTAAACTAACGATTATAATCAAAACCCACTAAGGTATTCATGTGCTTGATTGGGTTGCTCCTTAAGGCCGTGAATGAGTCAATGTAGGTATATAGCCAGCTATATATTACTGAGCAACTTGCTACCAATAGCTGACACAGTTTAGTCCATTGGCTTTGCTATTGATTGTCGCTACTAATCTTCTATTCCTATTTGAGGACATTTGCATTCACAATAATCACAGATCTATCACATTTTCAGACAAAAGACAAAGATCATTATATCTGATCTTGTCTTTTAATATTTATTGTTAATTGTTTTCTCTGCTGTGGTTTCCAAGCTGCATCTTGGCCCAAGAGTGGCAATGCCCTTGGTACGTGTGCATGGCTGGATATTTCCTAGTAGGCTTGGATTCTTTTGATGATGCTTTTTAGCATATCCTTTGATGGTGCCTTGGCTAACTGGCCTTGGTAACCTTGGTTGACTGGGCCTAATGACCTAGCTTTGGGTTGGCTGCCCTTGGTTAGCTGCTTTTGATTGTCTGGGCTCTTTCAGGTTACCCTTGATGGATTTTGGCTTTGGTAGTCTTTGATTTCCTTGATTGCGGCAAATTGTGTTTGATTAATTGCGGCTGCCTTCGATTGCTTTGACTTTGGTTTTCTGTCTTTGATTTTGTTGAGGCAATCTCTGGCTAGTATGGCTGAGGCAACCTTCTACCGGCTTTGGGCCTTGGCTGGCTTTCAATGAGGTTTCTTTTGGTTGAGTGGAGTGAGCTTGTTGGCTTTTTTTTTTCTTTTTTTCTTTTTTTTTTTTTGCGCTGACGTGGCTGCTATCTGCTGCTTGCTTTCTGGCTTCTGGCTTCTGCTTTTTGGTTTCTGGTTTTTGACTTTTGGTTCCTGGCTTCTGGCTTTTGGTTCCTGGCTTCTGGCTTCTGGCTCCTGGCTTCTGGCTTTTGGCTCCTGGCTTCTGGCTTCTGCTTTTTGGTTTCTGGTTTTTGGTTTTTGACTTTTGGTTCCTGGCTTCTGGCTCCTGACTTCTGGCTTCTGACTTCTGACTTCTGGCTTCTGGCTTCTGGCTTCAGGGAGGTTTTTTTTTGATTTTTTTTTTTTGGTTTTTTTTTTTGGTTTTTTTTTTTGGTTTTTTTTTTTGGTTTTTTTTTTTGGTTTTTTTTTTTTGGTTTTTTTTTTTTTTTTTTTAAGTATTTTTTGGAGTTTTTTTGGGGTTATTATATTGGCCATTGGCTGTGAACTGTTGGCTGTTGGCTGTTGGCTGTTAGCTCTGAGTCTATCTCCTCAGACGCCCTACCTCGGTCTGATGCTCTTTCCCAGGCCTTCTGCTTTCCTCCA